TTTTCCGACAAATTTATTAGTTGACACCATTACCCCTCCCTCCCCATATAAACCGAGGCGTATTCATAAAGAATCGCTACTTCACTTACGTACTCTTCGTACGACTTCAAAGAATTCAATTATATGTATCTTGAAGATTTGCAGCAGCCACATATTCAACTCACACGCATTCAATACCAGAACAATGAAATTTTAACATTTTTGATTCAAGATTCCTCATTTGTTTTTGACTATTGGTCTAAGCAGATTCTAGTGGGTTCATAAGTAATAGCTCATAGTTCACAGGTCAACGAAGTACTTAAAAAATCATTTAAGTTCCAAAAATTTGAGAAATTTTAGATCTTGGTCTCTTTACCTGAATCTTCTTTCTTGCCTTGGTCTTGCTCTTTGAGGTTGATGAGAATGTCAATGAAGTCATTTTCATTGCTACCGGTTTGACCTCTCTGCGCCGTTTGCTTCTGAAGCATACTCTTCATCGATTCGATGTGGTTTTGAGTGATGAACTTCAAAGACTCGAAACCTTGAACTCCTTGGAGGTGCATCTGAGCAAACGCGCTTAGAAGTCGGTTCCACCCCGGCTCGGCAAAACTTTCAACAAGCTTAAGAAGTTCTCCTTTTTTCTCGTATGAGTTAGCGCCCAGGCCGAAAAAGCTATTGGAAGTGCCATCCTGGATGAAGTTCATGGCCACCTTGGAAACAAGGAGCGTTAAGTTTAGAATACAGAAATAAAAACTGGTCGTCTAAACTAAATTTAAGTGTCATATACAGCCTCGTTTCTCAAATGCACGAAAAATGAACGCAAAATAAGTTTACGCACTTTCAGAGGGCAATAGAAGGTCCGCCATCTTGATTCGTGTATTGACCTTTAATGCTGATTAGAGCTCACTTAACGTTCCGTTCCACTGTAGAAGTGCGTAAACGAATTTGGCTTGAATTCCATTCCAAATAGCGATACACCCAGAATACCATGCAGATATCAGACACCTATGCAGATGGCGAAAATGTTGCCGCTCCTAAAGCTACTTCCTTGAAAAAGTACAGTATCTCGTAAATCGTAGTTTTAGGTTGAACACGGATTTCACGTTTCAATCCCAGATACTCTCATCCGGAAAAAAGTAAGAACGTTCGTTGCACTATTCTGTTAACTGGAGACGTAGTTAGAGTTATGAGTCAGAATGTGTCAACGCTTGTTTTCGACGTAAAATGTCGCAAATGACAAAGTTCCCACGAAAGTACGTCTGCAAATGCCAACGTTGCGAAATTTCAAATTGCAAACTGTGGGCGATCCTAATTGAAAATTTTACCGATAATTTTTCAAATGACACGTAAAACTCAAAAACATTTTAGACGAAAATTGCACAATGATTTTTCTATAAAAAATTAAATTGTTAGGGTCACGAGATTGTTTCACGATACTGCTTAGCATAACAATACGTGAATAGCAGAGCAAATTATGTCTTAAGCTTATATTGTTCCGCGAAAAAAAAGATTTAGGGTAAAAATTTCTATTTGCTGTTATCGATATATTCTACGATTTATGTGTACTTCCAAGACAGTAAGGTCAAAATTTCGAGCCAAAATTTGCATTATTTATGATCTCTTTTGGGATTGAAATTGATTCTTTTCTATAACGCTTGGCAAGAGCGGTGATAAACTTTAGCAGCAATTTCCTCGAATTCTCCGTTTTTCGTCCTTGAACTTTTGATTGCCTTAAATGGTTAGTCTATAGAATTTTTTGCACCAAAAGTACAAAATTAACCTCTCCAAGCTGAGGTATAATAATCTTCGTTTTTTCTATCGCAAGGGAACATTTTACACCGTTGCATTACTAACACGCATGGCCTTTAGAGAAAAATGATTACCATATCTCAAAATAATGATAAATATGTTTGAAAGGGTTGCCTCAAGACTGCCTCATGTCCAGGCAGTTGGACAAGTGGTATGAACATGTGCAAAGAATGTCGGAGGACAGGTCGCCCAAACAAGCTTTGGATTGGAGGACGTCCCTTAAAAGGATGGCGACAGAGCGTTGACGAGGAGATGTTGCGTTGTCAGTAGCCCGATAACCTCTGGGAAGATAGGTACATGTGGCGTTTGGGTGTCGCAGAACGTCAGAGTGCGTTTTAGGAGCCATTCTTATGTATGTATGTTTTAAAGAGATGGAAATCTTAACGGGATGTGGAAATTGTGGAGTATTAATGATACAAACCTGCTTAGTATTGATGGGTTTTCCTTGTAGACGGGCCTCTTCCGCGTGGGTCCACATATTGGCGATCTGGTTGCGAATCTTGGCGAAGTGCTCTCCGCTCACTCTTGCCGTGGTGAACATGGGTGAGAGTGCATTTCGGCCGGATTTCCACACACCTTTGTCCGTGCACAGATTCAGCATATGCTGGGCAATCTTGTCTTTCTGCGATGATGCCCAACCAGTCTCGAACGTTTTGTCGAAATTCTTCACGAATAACTGCAAAAGAGAGCCGACGTCATTTGAACTGCATTTTACCACGATAAACTACCATTTCTGGTATATCTGTAAAACCTTCTTTTTCCACATGAATAGTATTTGTAGCTCCTAATTTTAAAATTAGCCAAGAGTAGTTTAATTCAAAATTTAGTTGATTCCGAAATACACTTACCTATAATCAAAGATTATCGATGAAGGAACAGCTTAAAGATTAATGGACAAAATACAGGGAAGTAAGTCCATGCCAGATCGAGCTGAAATCGAGAAAAAGGGGTTTGAAGTTTCACATCCTAGCCGTAAGATGTATTTGAAGTTCACCTAGGAGCATTCAAAATAAAAACTTCACGAGGGATCGATAGGTAAAAAAGAAGGAAGTTACAAGGGTTCATGTAGGTGTCTTTAAAAAGGTAAATATTTTATAATAATAGGAATGATATCTGTTCTCTATTTCGAATTTTAAACAAGAAGAAAATCAAATAGAAAAAAACGGGGGAAATTTGAGTATGTCAGGGAATTTTTTGAACAACTATCCCTAGATCCAAAGCCGAGTCAGATTGAAATGACTATCTCTTCTGGGGGAGTCATGAGGCCAGTACATACTAGCGCTTCAGATGCACATCTACAAAATACATCCTAAAAAAGAACCACACATCAAATTGAAAAAAAAGAAAGAAAATCGAGTGTCAACATAGCCGATAACAGGAATAACGTTTTCGGCCTCGTTTTTTCAGAACTATTTTCTTAATCTGAGCGGCACCTCATCGACAGCATAGACCATGCATTCCGAGCTTGCGCCTTGCGTAATTGCGCCTTCAATTTTGCAGATGCAACAGAGACATTCATCAAGCACGAATAGTTGTATCTTTGCGCCGTCATCGACGCGCTCTTTTTCCTTGCTTGTTCCATGCTTTTTGTTCCATTTTACTAATTTTGCGTGATGCTTCAAGGGCTCGCGATTGTGGAAACGTCTATTTTTGGGTTTGCAAGTTATAAGTTAAAAAAAAAATAATAAAATCTTGGTATGGTTCCAGATAAATTGCTAAACTTTTCACCCAAAACCCAGCAAGAAGGCTACAAAGGATAAAAGTAGGGTTCTAAAAAAAAGATGTCTCTATCATTCGCCGCGGCGAAAGGTCATCAAAGAGGCTCTACTTGTTTACAAGAGCAAACAAAGTCACGATTCGCCTTCATTGGAAAGACTAGGCAAATTAATTATAACCTACGCGTTGAAACGAGGATTGGGTTCTTTTGATACTTTAACCATGGAAAAAACAATGTTCTGTACTTCGTCACGGATGTATTTTTCTAAAACTTCCAAAATAGTTAGACCTCCTCTGTCAAATCGTGTCTAACTGACCTGCTTGATGAGTGCCGGGCTCCGGACGAGGACGACAGGCATGGTGGCGATGAAGAAAGCGACGAGGTCCTTGTCCTTATTCTCCCGGTAGATGCGGTCGATGGGGACGACGGCGGAGTTGCTGCCCACGCCCCAGAAGTACTTGTGCCCGATCAAGAAGCTCGGCTCCAGAAAAGGGATCTTCGACTTGCGCCACTCCGCCACCCGCCGCGAGTACACCAGATAGTTAAGCGCCAAGCACAGGGATCCCACAAATAGGGGCACGCACAGCAGAGGCGATAGTGAGGAGAGCGACTCTGAGAGATCCATCATGGTGTTTTCACCTGCTGAAAAAAGAAATATGAAAAAAGGAATGTAAAAAAAAAGAGAGAATGGAGAAAAGAGGGCGTCCAAAATCGAATGGTGGAAAGCAGCACCAGATTATAAATGACAAATCAAGATAGCGGCTTTACCAAGCGCCATTACAATAAAGGTGCTGAAATGAGGGGACATTTTTTCGAAGAAAAATGAAACGGTGAAAATGCAGTGAAGAACAATAGGTAGACAAGTAGAGTAAGGATAAAGAGAGCGAAAAAATAAGAAGAAGTAGTTCAATGTTTCAAATTATGTCAAAGTTGTAGCGTACATTGTTTCAGAGCTTGCGGGTTGCCTCTTGAGATGACGGGCATACGTATGAAAATCGCGCTCAGTAAACTTCGACAGAGACAATATACAATGCGTAAAACTATTGGTAGTCATCGGCAAATTGGAGTCTGCCTTCAATTGTACCGTTGAGGCAAAAAACATACCGGGGAATGCGAAATGTTTTCTTTTGGTAAACCACACATACGAGTATATCTCCACCCATAAACTTTGATTTTGTAAACCATTTGGCGCGTATACGTAGTATACCGCTTTTGCGATCGTTTCGAACCTTGCTCGATACAATAACCGAGTCCCTTAGTTCCTTACCGAAAAGTGACTACCGCGAACTTCTCAGATTTTCCAAAGCGTGTAAAAAGTTTATTTATCCGTCAATAATTATGATTTAAAGTTGTTTCTCATTCTGGGGGTCTCTAGTTTATGTGCAGTGAATACCAAGAGTCTACGTTACTTGGTTTTTTTAA